GAGAACAACAGGGATCAGATCAGGAGAGAAGCATGCCCTCACGAGACAGACTCCTAACCAACAATAACAACAACAAAGACCCGCAAATTTGGGGTTCAAAACTGAGATCGTAATGGAACAGTCTGTCGCTGGCCTCTGAGACTGGCAGCAAGACGAAATAGTGCTCAAGGTGAGCATAGGCGACACGCAGAATACGACAGCACCTTCGTGGGCGAAATGGGCAGTGCTTACTCTTGTGACCAGACGTTCTCTCCTTCACAGATGAGGTTGGTGACGATAACACTTCCACCTTTCATATTTTTCCCCCACTCAGCTGGAGTGTTACCCCCCTGCCAGGAGAAGGAGGCGCTACCAGTCTCCCCGGCATCAACTCTACAGTAGTTGTTATCGCCGGCACCTCGCTCACTCACGGTGGTCACCTGACGAGGCAGTGTTGGAATATATGTTTGGTTTCCTCAACTGAGCTCGTAGGTTTCCTCACTATCTTATGAAAAATTCACACGATTTTGGGTATAAGTATACAAAAAGCAACCATAATTCTCAAAATTTCTATATTGCTAGCAACACATGTAGTTGACCATATGCGTATATTCCCACACTGTGACAAGGTGTCGAGAACACAGACTATGTTGGGGCCAGCTCACATCCAAAGCGCCCCTGACAAACTGCGGGCACAAGATGAGGGACAGTGCGCGGGAGATCGGCATTGGTACAACGTAGTAGTCTAATGAGCATGACCCTGGTAACTAACCAGAAATGGGAACAAGGGTAAGACAGCGCGAGTAGACAGACCCTATAGGTAGAACAACGCCTAGGCCTTGTCTCCACACAGGCGAGGAGGAGTAGACGAGACCATGGACAAGCCCAGACTCCAAGGTAAAATTTCGCTCGCCCGTGCTGGCCAAAGCCTAAGGCCCCCGACCACAATTCACGGACTCTGCCTGTGCTCCAAGGTGGCCGTGCTGAGGTCTGTCACACCGTCCATCATGTTTGGTGTCAGCCAACGGCCCTCGAAAAGCTCGACTCGACTCGAAATGATTTCTTTGAATAGGATGGTCACCGAACAAGACGTTGATAATGCGCGAAGGCCCAAAGACAAGGAAGCTGGAGAGGAACGACGCAGAGAGATAACGAGCGATTCTGAGGCGGTTTATCTGCTAGTAGTAACACCCGCACCAGTTGACTCACCAACATTCACAACGGGAATAACCACATCTTCATAGGAGTGCCGGCACCAACTACGTGGGTCCCATGAGCTGCACGTTATAGCGGATTCGTCCCACCCATGTAGTAACTCGAGCCCATGAAACAACAGGAGCCTTGGTCAATAGTCATGGTCACAGTTGAGTACTGTCATCCCACAGCCTTCCTCCCCGTCGAGTGGTATGCATCATGTTGTGGAGAAGTCAGCCTCGTCATCACTATCGTGTGCCTCGAGATAATTCCCTGTTGGCAACAACAGCAGCAGTAGAAGAAGGCTACCTGGTAGGCCCTACTACTCTTCTCAATACTCAACGTGAGTCCATCGAGCGACTCAGCGGAATACTCCAGCGTTGCCGAGACCCGAGCTATCGTACGACTGAGCTGCCTAGTGCGCTGTGTCACCTGGCATCGAGCGCCTACCATCGAGCTCACATACACCCCAGTGCTACTGCTGGCAGCTTGCCCTCTGTCAGTTGGCCTACGAGCTCATCAATACCATCGATTGCTGCCATCTAGAAGGAGAACAACAACAACCTCATACGAGCTGAAGAGTCGGAGGACGAGCGGTACAATCCTGTCAACTTTGGTTTCCAAGCGCCTCAAGTGATTCAAGCATAGGAGGACATCTTTGCTTTGGGCTTCCCCACGCATCTTCCTCATCCCCATGATGAACTCTTCCACCGACAAACTACCATCACCTGCAACCAACACTCTAGTCGAGGACTCGAGTCGAGGAGGCTCACCCTTGGCCAACATATGCCACACCTCCTGGAGCTCATGCGCATCCACATCCAGCAAGGCTAACTTATGGACAACGCGGCGGCCCCGCAGAGCTTCCTCGAACTCCTCGCGACTCAGCTGTGAACGAATAAGACACATACAGCGCCATTTGCTATCAGGCAACTCGAACCGTAATAGCAACAAGTAACTGGTAGTGAATGAAACTCATCGAGAGCACCACAGGATCCCTCGAAATGTGAGATAGAGTGTAGCTCTAATCTTTGGCTGTCATATCTTAGCAACCATGGCTCAGTGTTTGATAATTCCACGCTGGTCCTCTGGGTTTACACACAGACCAGCACTCTAGCCAATCAAAGATGTTATCGGAGTCTAGGATCCCAATGAAATGAAGGGAAAATCTTTCCCATCTACCTCGCCGCTGCCATCAGTGTCCAACTCTGTGAATAGATCCCCGAGCTCAGCAGCCTCTCTCGCTCTGTTCCTCTCCACCTCGATAGCCTAAGGCTTCACGACAACCACCAGAGATGGCGTCCCATCACCCTACGTGGTGCTCATCATCCTCCTTGGCTATGCTGAAGGCGTGCTCGACTATAACTGCTGTGATGAGATTCATAAGGACGAAATAAGCGATGGAGATGAAGATGAGGAAGAGCCACTCGATCATCGGCTGCTGCACCATGAGTGGACGAACAATTCCCGTCCAGGAGTCTAGCGTCATAATCTACATAGGAGGAGAAGCAGGGCGAGGCAGGAGAGAACATACTTGAAATAATGTAAACATGGACAAGGGGACATCCCCGAATAAGGATTGGACTTCTTCGTTGTTCCTGACAAACGTTGGCGATGGAGGAAGAGTTGCTCAGGCGGCAGCAATCAACATGCCCAGCTTGTCAGAGTGAGGAGGAAGCAGCACGAATAAGCCTTGATTATGCTCTCTGTGGCAACAGGAACAATAAATAGAAGCGGCACATGACATGAATAAGGTTGCAGACTATATTTGCTATTCCGAGCACTCCGCACTGCTCAGAACAACGAGCCGTGCATGACCCTAAATCTGTTTGTCCGAATATTGGACCCTATTCAGAGGGCACCACCACAACACCCTCACAGGTTGCCCTCCCATCTCCCAATGAAATGAGTACATGCTATACCAAAGACATAACACACAGCGGCAATGACAACATACCTGAACGATCAGCTGCTACTGGGAAGGACCAGGAACACTACGTCCAGAATAGAGTCAGACTGCTCTCCAATACGCCTCTAACCATCATCCA